TTTAAATTTAAAATTAATATCTTTAATGTTTATTCGTAAATTTAGTAGCTACAAGCGCATTAAAAAGTTTATCAAGCGTGATGTTTTCGTTTATTTTTAGATGGAAAAGATGACAACAAAATAATATATGTACACGTACCTACCTATATATGCATACATAGTTTTCTTTTACATAAAGAGAAAATGACTGAATTTTAACTTTCAACAGTTACTCGCGGAAATAGATAGATACAAAGAAATGGGAGGTACATCTGTGTGTATTAATTTTTGTACGTACGTGATGATCTTAAGGTCAAACGTTATCACAAACAGCGCCTTATCTTATAACGTCAACGTGTGTACAGTGAAAACAAGCAAGGAAGGAAATTCTTTGTTACATTTCGCCGTAGCGCTTGGTTTTCCACACGCAGCTAACGATAACGCAGTGAGCGAGTAGGAAAAGTCCGCAACCTCGCATCGAGTGCAAGGACTTCCGTCGGCACAAGCATGCACTCAATGTAAGCAACAACATTCAGAAAAACAGCAAAGAAAAGTAACTCTCCAGTCCTACCTGTTTTAAGTTTCGATGACAATCAGCTGTTCATTAATACTTGTTTGTAAACAAAAAACGGAATCACTGCACAGATCAGTACTGGCAAGTCTGTTCGTTGTTAAAATCTATTTTATGTCTCAATCCCTTCCACCGAGAGAACATGCGCGAAAGGGCCCCGCGATTAAATATTCTAATAATCGTAAAACAATCCCGATGCGATGTTTGTCTGTTTCCGCGCACATGGATACTCGACACTTACACACACAAATGCTAAAACTGAGTGACTAATTAGAACGACAATTTGCGAATGTTACCACGTAAATTAACCGCTTTTCCTTGGCTCGAGTGCGTGTAAACATAATTAGTCTTAACATGTGGATACTCTCACTTTTAATAGCTCTTTATTTGCCTAATAATGAACTTTTGTAACAACCAACGAACAATAAGCTCATTCAATCAACTGTTTATGGCTGTTGTGGTGCATTTTATCATTTTCCGTAAAATGTTTCAATACGATACATACAATCAAAATTGTGCCAATGAAACTCACTGGCATTAGCTATTGGTACATACTGTTTTGGTGGTAGGCACCCTCCATTATTCCTTAGAATGGAATAAAGACTATTTGTTCCATCAACATCCCATCTTCCAATATTCTGGAACTACCTGATGACCATTAATCAAAAGACGCAGCCAACTAACGCGTATTTCAGTATCCAAGATGTTATCAATTCAAAATCGCTTATTTTGATGTATTCGAGATGGAACTAAACAATTGCAAGAAAGTGAACGGGTCTAAATATTCCGACTGGTACAAATTTGATTATTTGAGATGGGTGTAGTGGTAAGCCTCAGTTTTAGGTGCATGCAATAACGTTAAATTACATCATTTATAATTAGAGTTGCCACCCGTACTTTATTATAAAGTATTGTACTCTATTTCGACTGTGCGTACGTTATACTTTACATGACACATAAATATGAAGATTGGAAAAACTTTGGCGGTTGTTGTAGAACAAATAGAATGGCTCAAAACCCCAACGCCAAAACAAGACACTGTAGTAGTTCAGTTTACTTCAGTCCCTGAAGAAGGTAACTTTGTTACCGAAAAGTGCTTCGGACAACTACAGTGTCTTGTTTTGGCGTTGGGGTTTTGAGCTATTCTGTTTGTTCTACAACAACCGCCAAAGTTTTTCCAATCTTCATANCATTTACAGAAAGAGTATTCTCTGTTATGAACGCAAAGTGGCGGGACGACAGGAATAAAGCTTCATTACAACTAATTAAAAATGAACTTTTAGTTTACTTAAATCTTTGTTTGCCTTGTTTAGAGGCTATTAATGTATTTAAGAGCGACAGCAATTTGTTACTGGCTGCTAGGTGTAACAAAAAATATGTTTTTAAAAACAAAAAATAAAATACTTAATTTATATGTTGAGTACTTTTTATTTTGAACCATTTAGTCGAGAAATACTTTATGTAAAGCCTGAAAAGGTGGCAACCCTATGTATAATAGACGATGATTTATTTGAAATACTTTTCCAAACGTATTTTCTATTTGTAAAATGCAAAATACAGTAATGTATTTAAGTGAGTACTTTTTATTTTGAACCTTTTAGTCGAGAAATACTTTATGTAAAGACTGAAAAGGTGGCAACCCTATGTATAATACATACGATGTAAAGCGCTTTGTAGACGTTGTAGAGAATGCTTTCGCGCGGGGAATTACCGGAGAAAATTACAAACGAGTTTGTAGTAATTACTGTAGTTTTGAAAACCACCAGCACCCTAATGGATCCACGTCTTTTTCACACCTTTTGTCGGTTCGGAAGAAAGAGTAGTTATAAAACATTTTTGCATCCTTTGCAAGAGGAGTCTGACTGGAAGGACTTTGAAGATGTTCCTTGGTTTACAAAAGGTCTCAAAACATGATTTAATAAATGGATTAGAATAAATTTCCAATCAAAAGAGAAGCTTCCCAACCATAACCAACCTTCAAGTGGTATACAACCCCCAAATAATAACTCGCTACGCTACTTCAGAATTTTAAAAATAGTTTCGAAATTTTCGTAATTTGTAAATTTTTGCTACCATCATATAACATTCACGACTTATCAGTCATTTTTAATTTACAAAGTGATATAATGGCATTAACGATAAGACCGTTTTTTTAATTGTTGTCTATTTGTGAACGCATCACGTAAAAACTACTGATGGACGGAGTCTTCAAATGAATAACATAGACATAGACATAAACTTGAAGTAACATTCATAATTACTTTTCATTTTATGGCAATTCAGTCTAATTGTAGTAGCACCTGAAATAAAATTTAAACATCTGGTCCCACATCTACAACATTTTGTTGCCTTGGCAACTAGTGGAGTGTTTGTTATCAAATTATCAGATTTAAGTGCGTTTAAAAAAGATATATGAAAAATTCTGGATTTTTAACCGGATTCCAATTGTTTGTGAAGTTAGAAACTAGTGAAATTTTAAAACTATGGAAATTTTTAGAAACTGATAATGACCCCCATATTAATTGAACGAGGTATACAAACATTAACAAAACAAACACATAACAAACAGTAAAATTTGCAAGATTATTCCATAATTTCGTCCAATACACCTCACACCTCTACAAATTCGTAATTAAAGAAAATTCAGAAAACTTTGTAAACATGAATTATTTTTCTTTTTACAAGTAATTTCCCTACAAGTTTATTAAGTTTATACCATTATCGTACATAAATACGTTACAAAAAAACTACAATCAAGATTCGCACAGAACATAAATTCCTAAATTCCTTAAAAATTCAGGTGTGTAACTAGCATGCTTCATTTTGTCCATCTCATCTGTTTCTTCCCAACTCATTTCCACATTTCCTAAAAGGTGACTGAAGATGGTCTCCCACTATATCCTCCGGCTTTGCACTAGCGGGACTGGTCCCCCACAATCATTAATAGCTAGTAGGAATAAAACGTGCAGTCTGTTTTTTCTACAAGCTTGTGATAAATCCATTACTCTGTTACGAATTAATATGAATTCATTCCGAGTACTCGCAACTTTAAATAAAATCGTGCACAAACTTAGCAATACTAATTGTAAGTGTATTTATTTAAATATATGGAGGTAGGTACGTGTTGAAAAATGATTTTACAATCAGTTCCATTCGCTTCTCTCGTCTATGTGTGCTCCTCTAGATGGCCAACAAATTTTCCAAATCGTTTCTATCAGGCATTGAATTATCGCACTTAAATATTGTATAGATTTTCGTATCACTAAATGATGTAGAACAATTAATGTTGATTTCAACAACTTTAACATGTGAACCAATTTTAAAAAAGTAATAACAATAATCATTTAAAATGTATCGAAGCAAAATATAAAAACGCTGTGATATGACATGAACATTGTACGTAAAGATAAAAATTTCGATCGTTAAGTAATTTTATACCTTTTAATGTTCATTGTATATGACCTTGTTGTCGTACAGATACTTTAATACTTATGGAAAAAATTACTCATAATCTAAGTTGCATGTATGCAAAGTAGCCATCATGTAGAGACGCGCAATATTATACTTATAACTTTTTTTTGAAATGCATATCAATTTCTTTAAATACTGCGTGAATCGGTTGGTAAACAAATAGAAAAAATGTTCTTATAAATTAATTATTTAATAATTGTCTTTATTGTGCTATCTATAGATAGTATTGTAAAAGTTATCGTCTGAAAAACGAGAAAATAATTTAAATCATATTTAATTTTCTTTTTAATCACATCACTTTACCATTATTATGATAAAAATATAATACATACATATAAAAAAATAATTAAAGACGATATTTTTTCTATTTCTCTGATTGTATTCTTATCAGAAATTTCGAAATGTACAAAAAAATAAATCAAAAGTCGTGATAATGGTTATTGTATATTGTTCAAGATTGGTATTACATAATAACTGAAAGTAATATTACATTATTCGTTTCGTATCAGTCTGCATCAAAATCAAATATAATACAAATTAAAAATGAGGAAACTTTTTTCATTAAAAATACTTATATTTATTTTAAACCACTCCCTGGTTGATTTATTGAATAATTAATTGTCTTGTTTCGTAATCAACTAAAGACTGTTTATTATTACCGTAAACTTATTGAGTAAAGTTGGGCTTACACTATATCGGAATCGCTCGGACGGCACACGGAACAGAAACGTCACACAGAAAAAGTTATTACGAGTTTTAGATAAAGACCTTTATTATCTACAGTTAACGAAAAAATTCCGACCTGTATAGCTATCTACACGCCCTGTAGACAGCAAAACGGTTTTAATTCTGATTATAGGAATATTTCACGAATTTTTAAGATTTAAAAATATTTTACACTTTTCCGTTCCGTGCCGTCCGTTCGATTCCGATATATGCAGGCATGTGCGCAAGCCTTTATTTTACTCAAGGAACAATGTAAAATACTTGCTCTCAGTGGGGAATTTTTATAATTTTTGTTTGCTTATAACTTAAGGAATTGCAATCAAACAAAAGCTATATCTATTTGAAAACTATTTTCTTATATTTTTTTGTTGGAAATTGTGTAAAAACTTTGTCACACTCAATACGCGTTTTTTGCGAAAGTAATTTTGAAAAATTTAAATTTGTNTACTTTTAAAAATAATAATCGAGCTCATGAATAGATCCCTTTTACCAAACTGGTGTAAGGTAACATTAATGTTTAAATGCAAATGTGAAATCATACCGCTGAATTGTATGTAGTTTGCATTAAAACCTTGACAATCAATTTGCAATTCCTTTTTGTTCTTACAGGTCATAAAAGGTCCTGAATAACAATTTCCAGTTTAATAACAAATTAAGTGACAAAAAAAAACAGCTTATCATGTAACCCAGTTACGAATTTATTTAGAACAAATATCAGCGACTGAGGCCTAGACCTAGTAAAAGAAATACATAATGAGTTACTCCTTGCTTTCACTTAACGGTTGAAGAACTAGACAAGATTTTTATTTATTTAACAGTTGTTTATAGGCAGTGGTCGAATGGTGAAGTGTAAAATGTCTTTTAGTTTTCAAATTCAGTGGAATTTAATTTCGATTTCACTAGGGCCATTTAGAGACGGTTAGTAGGTAGTAAAACAACAGTGTCATAAGGTAAGTACCCTTTATTATTACTATTATTTATTTAAAATTAAATACCACGTAATAATCCATAATAAATTAATACACAAATGTTAATATATGCATATACCTAGCACAGTATTGCGAGTCGAAATAACTTCGTAAGATAGCATTTACGAAATCAATTATATACAAATTTTTGAAAACAAACAGTTATGTGTCAAATGACTTCTGATGGCGTATCTATTGCAAAGTTTGATAACATTATCAAATATTTAGTTTGTGACGTCTTTTTCAATGCGATATATAAATATAATTATATTCAACTTTCAACATATCTACAAATTAACATTAGCATTTGATTTTCTTCGGAAAAATTCATATAAATTGTAAATAACAATGTGTTAAAGAACAAATACTAACAAAGATATCGATGATGTTATAGAAAAAAAGATGAAGACGAAGCGAAGACAAGTTCTTAGAAAAAAGCGATTATGAAATAATCTTTAAAGGCTTTTGTTCAAAATACTTAATTAACTTCCAATTAGCAATAACAACTTCGGATTTAGTAAGTTAACCAAATAAGATATTCGTGGCTTATTTGTGAACAAACCTTTTTAGAAGTTTGTTCTTATTATATATCTATTTTTATAAACACCATTCAATTGTCCAAAAATAACTAAACAAGTACTGTAGGTCAACATCTTATCTTTTAAGCTTGTTTGTTTGTTGTGTTGCTTCACTTACAAAAAAACACATAAAAAGGTCCCAATAAAACTATCACTGTAATTGGCCTTGAAATTTAGAATTATTCGATTCAATATTTAAATTTTTCTAAGAATTTTTCCAACATCTTTTCTAGGAAATGTCTTCGGGACAACAATCTTTATTTACAAACAGAAGAAAAACGTAAGAAATAAACAAATGAATTTTAATTCTACTTATTACATAACAAACTTAATAAAATGGAAGCATTATTAAATTAATATACGTTAAAGCTTACTATCAATACTTTGTAGACATATTATGAGATTTTTTGTAGATGAAAAGTTCAAAGCTCTTTTTTGGACCCTAAAAATTGTGTCATAAAATAAAGTCATAAATCTGCGTTTTGGACAGATGATATTTTACTACATTCGTCATGATGGTTGGGAGGACAATTTGTTTGAAATTGTACAAAAACTTGAGATATTTTGATTGTTTTATTAAATTGCAGAAACTAAACAATTCAAATAGACAACCAACTTTACGCGGAAAAGGGATTAAAATTGAAAATATTATTCATGATGGTCCACTAATGGATTTAATGGGTTACCACAAAAGTTACCTATTTCTTATCAATGTATGTTTCAATTTTGGCAATACGGTTTATCTAATCATTAATTGTTTTATAGTTATAGAACAAAATCACCTATATTATGTACAATGTGGTAATGTTGGTAGACAACCCACTTTACAGGAGAAAACTCGGAAAAACTGGGTCCACTTTGACGATTCTAATGGAGCTTTTAAATTTAAAACATTTACGCCATTTTAACGAATTACATTTACTGCACAAGTAAAAATTATGAAATTATTTTAAATCTTTAAGTCTCAGTGTACTTTCCTTTTTAAACTATCTTTTAGTTACAATACATAAAACTTCAATATACGTTGTCAAAGTTTCTGTATTTCGTAATAAATGTTGAAAAGTAGTAGTAAAATTTAATATCAAGAACATTGTAGTTACATGTAAAATGTAACAATAGCTACGTACTGACTAGACTGTTTTCTGCATTTTCCTACACATGTAATAACGTATAACAATAAAAAAATAACTTCTAGCAATTGAGATTAGATATAAAGGTCAAACCAGCTATGTGTAGAATGTAGATATTGAATTGCAGATAAATTTTACAGTAATTTGTCGTATTATTATAAACATAATTTCATATTGGGTAAGTAAGTACCTATATAATATAAGTTAAACCCAATTTGGTACAAAAAGAAAAGCAACATATACCTGTTATAAAATTTAAAAGTAATTTACTGAAAGCTTTTTCATTAATTTCTTTTGTTTCCATTGAGTTAAACGAAACACGTTTCGGGAAAATTCGTTTGATTTTCTTTTAAGTTAACTACAGTTAACACTCGTTAACCATTCCTATTATTAGCATGGTTACTTAATTAACGAATATTTGTCAAAAAAGGTTACGTTTGTTTGTATTGTTTAACAACTTTAACTTGCTATTGTGAGTTATACCAAATCTGGGTAAAAAAAGTTACTTATTCCGCCATCTATCGAAATTCATCATTACCTTACAAACATACTTGGATGATATGAATATTAGATGGCGTTTAATAGGACACTCACTTAGTATTTTTCTAAACACTTGCGTCTTATTTTTGGTTTTATGTTTACTTTAATCTTTAAAATAAAATTTTTATAAACTTTATTAGTTACTTTTAAAAATAATAATCGAGCTCATGAATAGATCCCTTTTACCAAACTGGTGTAAGGTAACATTAATGTTTAAATGCAAATGTGAAATCATACCGCTGAATTGTATGTAGTTTGCATTAAAACCTTGACAATCAATTTGCAATTCCTTTTTGTTCTTACAGGTCATAAAAGGTCCTGAATAACAATTTCCAGTTTAATAACAAATTAAGTGACAAAAAAAAACAGCTTATCATGTAACCCAGTTACGAATTTATTTAGAACAAATATCAGCGACAGAGGCCTAGACCTAGTAAAAGAAATACATAATGAGTTACTCCTTGCTTTCACTTAACGGTTGAAGAACTAGACAAGATTTTTATTTATTTAACAGTTGTTTATAGGCAGTGATCGAATGGTGAAGCGTAAAATGTCTATAAACAACTG